GAGTCCTGCAGCGTGTTCAGTGGTGGCTCGATCCCCAGAAGGAACATGCGGGTTCTAAACAGCTTCTGTAGGAAGCAAGTTGAAGAGTCAAGTCTGACATCTCCTGGCTTTCAAGATGAAGAACATGAGCTTAGGGGGAAGTGGTGCACCAGGGTTGCGCAGCTATTCAGGGAACCTGACGTTCTACTAAGGACAGGGTTGATGTTTAGCTTTCTTAACTATTCCTCTATCCTGCAAGGCCCCCTGAACTCTCTAGCCCCGGGCAAGCTCACAGCCCCCTTTCCTCCTCTTCATCCATAGACTAGAGGCAGTCCCTGGAGGATCCCTTAGGGCCTGGCCTCTGTCCTCCCCACCCGCTGCTCCCAGCAGATCTGCAACACTGGAAACCTTGCCTGAACTTGCCTCCAGATCCAGACTGGTGGGCTGGCCAAGATCAAATCTCACCCCTGGAATGCCCATTATCCCCTTCCAGGGGCCCAGATCCTCCCTCCAGCCTCCTTCTCCTTTTAGTGTATGGAAAAGAGGAGGAAGAAGAGGAGGAAGTTAGGAAGACAGAGGGGGGGGGGTTGGGAAAGGGGAGCACTGGCCCATGAATGTCAGGAAATCAGTGTGGGAGCAGAGACTGGTTCATATCATCCGTTGTTTAAAGTCCAAAGCAAGCTTGAGTTATCAGGAAGCCATCTTCCAGGCAGGCAGGAGCCTTGCTTTCCCAACCACCTAAGGCAGACCCCATGCAGGCTGCCCCTGCTTCCCAACAGAACAGGGGCTATTGCCCCTGACGCAGCTTTTCTGAGACACACACAACCCTACAAGCATCCTCAGTATCACCATCACCATCATCACCACCAGCTCTACCGTCACCATGACTACCACCAGCACCTTAATCCCCGTCATCATCGTCATCTTCACGATTTCCGTGGTCACCACCATCATGATACCGTTAACCCTTGACTCCCTATCGCTATTACGCTCCTTACCACTGTCATCACCAGCAGCAGCAACCCCTCACCAGTCTTCAGCTCTTGCGATGTCCTGGTGTGCTCCCTGACTGTTCTCGGGGCTGGAGACCTGGCAAACGGGCTTTGGAACCTTCCCTATGCGGAGCCCTGGACGGCAGGCACTGTCCTGCTCTGCGCATGTACAGTAGTGAGCCCGAGTCCCCGTAGTGCCTGCCTGAAGCCTGGGCCTCCACTTGCTTGGGATCCAGCCCTGCTGCTGGGACAATGGGACTCTTTGCTGAGTGGGCAGGCCTCATGTTCGCTGTTTACCCCTTCCCTCCATCTACTCCACCCTCCCACCATCCCTGGAATCTAGTGTGAATGTTTAAAGGGAGACTTTCCCCTTTAAGGGGACAATGCCCGGCTCAGAACCCTCCCAGAGGACCCTTCCTCACCAAACATTGAACCTCTGTGTCCATTTGCCGGCCACAGACAGAATTTTCTGGTAGCTATATCAGAAGGAATCGGAAGCAAGTAAAATTGACGCCAACTGTATGTTTTGTTGAACACAAAACGTGGTCTAACTGTACCCTGTCAACAGGGTGAGGGTAGGAATTAGAGTCTGCTAACCCTGCATTATCTCCACTGAACTCTGTAATCCAAAGGACCACGCAGCATGGATTCAGGGGCCAGTGGCTACAAAGGGCGGTGAGGGTCTGGACCTCAGCAGGCTGGCTCTGTCTTCTCAGTGGGCGGTGCTCCAATGTGTTGCTTTACATGGAGGCTAAGGTAGCATACCAGAACCAAGTGGGCCTCTTATCTCCTTTGTGGCTGGCAAGTGGAGTATCCGTAGTGTGCTGACCATAAGAGCTGACATGCCAAAGTGTAACTGAGACCTTACAGTCACTCTCCCAACCCTGAGCGGCTTCTATGGCTGTGGTAGCCAAGCCCCTCTGTGGCTCCTCCCCTGCTCTCCGTGGAGCCATTTTGGGGAGACAGTGGGGGCATCGCATGGCAGGTTTCAGGGTTAGCGTGTGCCCCAGGTCCCAAGCAGCCTTGGAAGTTACCTGTTCAGTTGTTCTAGACGAAGCTGTTGCTAAACCCTGCGTTCTGTTGTGTGTGTGTTTGCCAAATGCCCAGCACATAGGTGGGGCACATGACTGTCGAGGTTAGGATGGAGCAGCCCTCCTGAGACCCATCCCTCGACAAATGTCATACTCCAGGGGGCCAAACTGTCTGTCCGTAGCCTCCCAGCAGCTCCCTGACACAGATTTTAAGGCCCCCCCGAAGGGCTCTGGTCAGGGGTGGGTGGGTAGGGATGGGCAGAGCTGCTGACTCATCCCTTGCACAGTGCTTATGTCTGTGGGTCCTGCTTGCTTTCTCATTTAGAGGAAAGATTTCATCACATACACAGGTCCCTGGCATTTTGTAATGGGTTCTGGGAACAGAGAATGAATTTGCATTCCCTTTCCAAACAGTGAGCTCTTTCCCTTACCCTCCCCCCCCCACCACAAACACAATTGTGTGAACAGCCCACACACATGGACAGGGTGAGAAGATTCGGCCAGTGGCAGAACCCAAATCACAGCCTACTAATCCTGGAAGACATTGCCTCGTCCTCTCTCATCTCTCACTCCAGCAAGTGTGGATGCCTCTAGCCTTCATCCTCACCAACCCGCAAGCTCTTCTGGGGTCTGTCTAGCCTATATGTATTCAATTTCTGTATAAGGAGTCAGAGCAGTGTAACACTTCATTGAAGAATGCTGCTCCTGAGTTCGAACGTCACTTCCATGGACCGTTAGCTGTGTGGCCTTGGGCAATTTGCCTAACCTCTCTGAGCTTCAGTTTTTGCATCTGCAAAGAGGGATGGTTACTTTTTTGTTATGATGACAGGGATTCTAGAGATGCTGAGCATAATAGATGTTGATGGTACTGAGGCAAGTCTTTCGTCTCCTCACAGGCATGACACATGGGTGGGTATTACAGGACACACAGTCCCTGGGAAGGCTCAGACACTCTACCTCCTTCCTTTTAGCAGGTGGATGCTTAACACTTGTCCAAGAAAGAGAAAACAAATCAAACACACTGCTCCTCACACTGAGTGTCAACCATAACACTGCCATACGCACGTACGCACGCATCCTGCCGTACTGTGCCGGGCTTGGTGTCTGAGCTCAGGATCTGCCTCCCTCACGTTTGATGCCCCTCCCCCTGCAGCTGGTCTCTCCCTCCTGCCCACGGCCCATTGAGTTCTATGCACATCACAAGGCGGCCCGAGTCTCCCTCCCAGCCCACTTCCTCAGAGCCTTGTTGGCAATTCTCTCTTCCCACATACTTTTCCTTCCATATGGCCAATGCATGTCATTCTTTCCACGGGGCCCCTGACCCCTTGCTGGATTTGAACTCCCTTTCTGTATTAGTTCTGGAGGATGCCATGTGTGGAATTTGGTCATAAAGCCAGGCACTGGATGCTGGGCAGGGCCTCGCTCTTTACGGTCAAGGGTCCTGTGTGTGGTGTTTAGGGGTTGTGAGGACATCCTGGGACATCCAGACCTTTGTGTGAAGAGGCCTCGAGTCTCCTAAGAGGATGGGGTGGGCATCCTGGGAGCTTTTGTTGGAGGAGCTCCCTGCTGTTGCCAGGTCCCTCCGGACTCTGGATCTCTGTGCTGAGAGCCTCCAAAAAGCCCTGTCTCTGTCTCCCACTGTCCTCCAGCTGTGGCAGCAGCTGTAGTGGCAAGTGAGCAGGCTCCAGTCAGTGCAGGACTTGCCCTGAGCTTCTCTTATCCCCTTACCCTGACTCCATCAGCACCCGGCCCTCCCAGGCCCGGCCACCTGCAGGCTCGCACCCAGTCCCATCCAGTCCCAGAGGAGGAGGCAGGCCTAGTTCCTTCCTTCCCGGGCTCCAGACTAGGCATTGCTTGGAGGACCAACCGGCGAGGCCGTGGCCACTTACTCATCCTGACCCCTGCAAGTCCCACGTCAGTCACTCCAAACCTCTGTTTCCTTCTGGCTATCGTTTGTGAATAGAGCTGGTGTTACTTTTTTGTAGGGTTAGGTGCTGGCACCAACAAGCACCATGTAAGAGCTGGAGGACTTGGGCACAAATTGGACAGGTTCATTCTCTGCATGCAACACCTCAAGGTGGGTAATCCCAGTCCCAGCCAGGTCTCGTCCTGAGCTGCAGTACTCACAGACAGGTAGCTGAACCCTGACGGTGAACAAGTATGTTAATCCCCCCCTCCAAGAAATCCTTGTGGCAATCCCATAACAATAGCCTTGCACCTCCCACGGTTCTTGGTCCTCATGTGGGACTCAGACTCTGAAACCGCCCAGCCACTAGCTCTGCTGCCCCAGGCTGCCTCCCCTCTGCCTGGCCGTCCACCTCGCTGCCCCTAGCAGCTCATCCTCTTGCCCAGCCACCCCCACGCTGCTCCAGCAGACTTCCCTACATTGCCACGTGTCTCCTTCCCCTGGTTCTTGAGGGTGCAGACCTCTGTCGCTCCCTCTGGACACAGGTGGGAGAGAAGTCTCCAGATGCCTTCTGGGAATGGCAGGATAGGAACACCCCCGCTGGACAAACCATGGAGGGACACAGGACTTTGAGGTGGCAACTGGCACAGCTCAAAAACCCCCGAATGCAGCATGCTTAGCGGGAATTTGTTGAAGGCAGGCATGCTCCTTCCTAGTTTTCCCCGGGGTTTCCCAGCACCTCTCCTCTTGGGAGCTCTGATGCCCAAAGTCCTGGGCTTTTCAAACTCACAGGCTCTGGATGTCCCCAACAACCCCTCATCGTGTGCTGTTCTGAATGGGCAAGTGATCCACCCCAGATCACACAGCCAATGGGGGGGGGGGTGCTGATCCTCAACTCCCTGTGTGGAGACAGAGGAAAGCAGGCTGACTGTCTTGAGGGCTGCTCCTCCTGCCCCCACTCCAGGAGCTTCTCCTCACCCCAGCTGTCCTCTCCCCTCTCTGCCCACCACTCCAACCCATCTTGCCTTGACCCTCAGTACCAGGCAGCAAGGGGTCGGGTCCCCTCACTGATCCTTTCCAGGCGGGACTCACCATGGCCAGGACGTTGCCCGCCACCAGGACTGCCGCGGCTGCCAGCGTCCAGGGCAGGAGCCACCTCATGCCTGGAAGTCAGTGGCACAGGAGCTACCTTTCAGCCCAGAGAATGCAGATGCCTCTTGAGGGAGCTGGGCCAGGACTGGGCTGGCCCATCAGAGCGGCAGAGAGCCTTCCTCAGCACCCCCCTCCGGGGGGGGGTTATGAAAGCTGCATCTGACGTCAGGCCAACAGACTAGCCCTGCGTTTTCCTCTAAAAAAAAACTTTTCCTGCTTCTCTCCCTCTCTCTTTTTCTTCCCTCAGTCCCCACCTCCAGCCCAGCTTGGCCAGCCTCCCTGCTCTGACAGCTCTTAAAGGGAAAGTCCCAGGACTGATTTCACACAGGGAGATGAATTCTCACCCAGCATCCAGCATCCAGTGTTCCAGAGCATTCAGACTCTCAGGGCAGGAGGGAGGAAGCAGGGAGGGGGTGCAGGCTGGAGGGGGGTGCTGGACAGTGTGGGGCTTTGCCAGGGTTCGGGGTGGGGGGGGGAGGTCTCCTCCTTCTGACTCACTGGTCTCTTCCCGTGGGCTAGCCTTTCTTCACTCAGCTGCCAGCAAAGAAGGTTCCCAGTCCACCCAGAAATGCCAAGAGTTTACCCCTGGCATGCTTGGAGGTGTGAGCTATCGGTGGGGTCTGCAGGGCTCCTCATGGCTGTGGACACTGGTGGCAGGTCCTCTCCAGCGGGCTCTTCAGCCAGGACTCCTGAGTCCATTAGCCTGCCTTCAGTGTTGTTGGATAGTCTTACTCCTGGAGGGCTGAGGTTCCCGGCCTCGGTCCTTTCTAGACCCAGTCAAAGAAATCTCATGTTTGCATCCGAAGTGACGGGAGCAGGGGGTCTTCTGAAGATCCAACTCCACTTTGTGGAGTCCCAGCATCTCTGCACATACCCTGTTCAGCCGCCAGCCTCGGCTTCCCCTCTGACCTCTGGGATGTTCCTGCATCCCAGAGAGATCAGAGCTGTCCTCAGACTGGCATTATGGTTGGTGGGTGTGGATCATCTCCTGGGTATGGCCAGCCAAAGCTGGTCGGTCCGGGGATCCTCTCTCCCTTTTAAGTATCATTCCTGTGTTCCCGTCCCCGACCCTGCCAGACCTCCTCACTGCTGCTTTGCTTGCCTCCTACTCAGTAGGAAGACACCATTCTTGTACAATTCCCTTCCTTTCCTAGCAGTTCTTCAGCAGGGGATGCTGCCTGTTTGGCTGTACCCACACAAGTCATTTGTGATCACCACAGATATGGCCCCCAAAGGTGACTATGATGATGATTCAGGGTTCCTTAGTCATTCACTCAGGTTGGGCCTCTGACCCAATTCTAGCCAGTGAGATGTAAGAGGAAGTCTAAAAGGGACCTCATTTCTAAAGAAAGAGATTTCTCCAGTCATCTTTCTGGTGTGTAAATGTGATGGCTGGAGTTGGAGCAGCCATTTTCATATAAGAGCAAGGTTGATACTGATGAAGAAATCTGGGTTCCTGGGTCCTCTTGTTGACAAAATGAATCAGCAACCCATGGCCTTAGCCACAGGTACTCAGGAATTTTGTTCTTTGGAGGCAAACCATATTAATTGATATTTGAGAATTGAAGAAAATCATGTATGTAGGCAAAGCGGGACATAAGTGTGGGGCCTTGAGACCAATCACCTCTATAGCTTATAATGTCCTTCTCATTAACTCATTTCATTGCTTCTGTAGCTGGGGCCCCTCAAGACCAGTGTGCTGCCAGGGGACATTAAAGACTCCCCCTAAGTCCGGGGGAACCAGTGGATCATTTATGGCCTTTTGACAGACAACAGGCACGGGCATGTCACATGCCATGGGCCATGTCACAGCTCCCTCTGTGCTGTGACCAGGCAGAGCAAGCTCAGAGGTGCTGGGCAACTTCAAGGCTCACATATCTGAGTGCCCTTGTTGCTGACATGCATACTGTCAGAAACAGATTTCCCAAGCCACCCGGATCAGCCTCAGCCCCTGAGGACTCCACATCTCCAGCCTGCCAAGCTGAACCCCCAGAACACAATGCTGCACAGCTCCTTCCTCTGTATGAGGCCGTCTCCTTCCCTGTGGCCCCATGAGCCCTGCTTCTCCTCATCCTTAGGGGCAGCCAGCTCTGTGCCTTCCCTGTCCTGTGTCTCCATCAACCTCCCAGAAGCTGTTTCTTTAAAAATGCTCACTGAAACGCTCTATCTTTAGAGAAACTGAGGCCCAAAGAACGGATATCAGGCATGAATTTCACTGTAAACAAGGAGCAGTTTCCTGAGTATAAATTCTGGTACCAAACCCTGGGCATACGTGGGGTTTTGACCCAAGTCAATGGCAGGCGTCTTAGCCTTCTTCAACATCTACTTCCGCTGCATTCTCTAATCGCCTCTTCTTCCTAGTATGTGGCTCCTGATGGGTGCCTCAATGTCCATCATGTTTGACTTTCAGGTCTTGCCCCATCTTGTTCTCTAGTGAACGGCCTTGCTATACGTTCAGTTCCCCCAAGGCGGGGCCAGAAAGCCTCTCACCTTTTAGGAATGTCTCAGGACTTGGGATTCAGGACTCATTCTCTGGCTATCATCGTAGCCGATGCTGCTCCCATGTGATTGATGGATGGACCAGTACTGCCTGAGGAGAGCTGGGCTGAATTCCTGCACCCGACACTTTCAGCTCTGTGGCCCTGGAGAAATCACTCGAGTTCCCTGTGCTCTCGCTTCCTTCCTGTGGTTCCTGATACTGAGAAAGTGGTGATGGCGGTGGTGGTGATGACGATGGTGATGATGGTGATGGTGGTGGTGATGGTGGTAGTGGTGGTGATGGTGGTGGTGGTGATGATGGTGATGGTGGTGATGATGATGCTGATGGTGGTAGTGGTGGTGATGGTGGTGGTAGTGGTGGTGATGGTGGTGATGATGGTGATGGTGGTGGTGGTGATGGTGATGATGGTGATGGTGGTGGTGGTGATGGTGGTGGTGATGGTGGTGATGATGATGCTGATGGTGGTGATGATGGTGATGGTGGTGGTGGTGATGGTGATGATGGTGATGGTGGTGGTGGTGATGGCGATGGTGATGATGGTGACGATGGTGATGGTGGTGGTGATGGTGGTAGTGGTGGTGATGATGGTGATGGTGGTGATGGTGGTGATGGTGGTGGTGATGATGGTGATGGTGATGGTGGTTATGATGATGTATGTGTGTGTGTGTGTGTGAGAGAGAGAGAGAGGGGTGGGCTGTAGGCAAGCTTAACACAGAGCAAGTGCTATAGAATGTTCTCTATCTTCTTGGCCCCTGTCCTGGTAATACTCCCAAGGTGGGAGTCTGGCCTAGGGCATCCCTGTGTCCCACACCCCAGATTGCCATGTATGCACAGGTCATAGGAGGACTGCTTCTGGCTGTCCCCTTGGTCCTGTCAAAGCTCTGCTTCCTGTTTTATCTCAGGCATGCTCTCTGCACCAGCAAGAGCTGTAATCTTGCAGGAGGTGTCCTGGCAGATCTCCTGAAGCAGCTGTAAATAATAAATAGATTCCAGAGAGAGGGTGTGGGGGAAGGGCTTCCAGAGTCAGCTCAGAGAACAGCCTTCCTCCACCAGGCGGTGAAGCCAGCCTGACTAGGGCCAGATGCGTGGAAGATTCCAGACCCAGTCTCGGTACCAGGTACCCAGAGGCCCCGAGGCTGACATCTGTAGCAGATCTGCTCACAGCCTGTTTGTTTGTCATTTATTCATCCCATGAACATGTTGGGAGCCCACACTGCTTGCAAGTGAGTGGCAGAGAGCCAGATCTATGCAGGCCTGGGCTGGTTGTTCAGCATACACAACGGTGACCTGCTGATCTAGGAAGCTCCCTTGACTGGCAGTGGGTAGGATGAGCTCTGTTGGGCCCAGGCACCACCTCCTTTCCTGGGACCAGAGGGACAATGGAGAAGTCATGCAGGGAGCTCTGGGCTCCAGGTTTAACTAGATGCTAACAGGAGCAATGTAACTCTTCTCCCTCCGTGCTCAGCCTCCTACCTCCCCCATGGTCCTTCTCATTTCCCCTCTGCTACTGGGTCATTTAGCTGAGGTTGGCTTGCTAGAGTCTAGCCACAGATAGGGGAACCCTAGGACTCCCCAGCACTCATGAGAGGAGAAAACAGAGAATGCAAGGGCCTAGGTCATTTAACCATACAAAGGGTAATGTTTGCCTCCAGGGCTCTGATGCACATTAGGTCCTCAGCGCCTGGTAGAGGCTGAGCGGTGGTTGTTACTCATCTCCTTTGCTCTTGTCATAGAGGCTCAGCTTGTGTCGCCATACTGGGGCACCTGGTGGGTCAGCGCCTCTCAGTCTTGGGGTCCTTTCCCTGAGGTTGGCTGTGCTGTGAGGCAGGACCCCCAGTTTTGTTCTCCCATCACTGGTCACCTGGTAAAATCTACAGTTCTGCCGTGTAAGGTGAGCTTTCTGGGCCAGCAGGTCCTGTGGCCTTTGAGCCCCAAATGAACACACAGACACTATATTAATTATAAAAACTGTTGGCCAGTGGCTTGAACTTCTTATTGGTTAGCTCTGTCTTATTGATCAACCCATAACTACTAATCCATGTATTTCCATGTGGTCTTGGCTTACCGGAGAATGTCCGACCTGCTTTGCCTGCTATATAGTGACTGTTCTGGCAGGCTCTCCTGCCTATCTTTCCCAGATTTCTCCGTCTCTCCTAGCCCCGCCTTTCTTCCTGCCTCATTGGCCATTGGCCCAACGGTGTTTTATTCGTCAACCAATAAGAGAAACATATACAGAAGGACATCCCCCATCACTGCTGGTTTATTCTGGTAAGGGCATGTCTGAGGGGACCCTGAAATGAGATGGCAGAAATGCCACTCTAGTCAGCACTATTCTTGTGTGGTCAGCAGGCGCAGCATGACTAGACTTCAAACCTCCAGTAGAGACTCCTTCCCTTTCCTGCCTCCTGGGGTCTCGGGCCTCTGCTTCCAGCACTGTGGAGTCTCTAAGCATGTCTGGCAGCATTCTGTGATCTCTACACTGGACCAAGATGGAAGCTTGCCTCCCTTGTGTCCTCTGATCTCAGCGTCTCTCACACTGGACCCCGGCTTCTGCACCCACAGTGCCTCTGTGGAGGATGCACGGAACCCATGAACCTTCACACCCACACAACCCCTTTTGGAGCATCTGCTTTGGGGATCATCTGGGTCTTTGTTTAATATTTCATTCTGTGCCCTGCGGTCCAGGCTCTAGCCACAATAATGTGAGCTGGGTGCAAGATGGCTACTGTTGGCCTTTGGGGACACATCT